GCGGCGGCGCGGGGGAGCGGGAAGGGGAACCTGGTGCCCATGTGGGAGTGCATCGTGTCGGACCATCTCACCCCCGTGCTCGCCTACCGCTGCCTCGTCCCCGAGGACAACGTCGACGCCCCCAGCTTCCTCTTCGAGTCCGTCGAGCAGGGGCCCCAAGGCACCACCAACGTCGTACGTCTCCCATGTTCCCTGTCAAATCTGCTGCTCCCTTATCGATTCTTATCCTCGTTAAGAATGCGGGACTGATTGGATTATATTGCAGGGCCGCTACAGCATGGTGGGAGCCCACCCGGCGATGGAGATAGTGGCCAAAGAGCACAAGGTTACGATCATGGACCACGAGAAGGGCCAAGTGACGGAGCAGGTAGTGGACGACCCGATGCAGGTCCCCAGGAGCATGATGGAGGGATGGCACCCACAGCAGATCGACGAGCTCCCTGAATCCTTCTCTGGTGAGCAGCCCTCATTGCTGAGACAGAGAGAAGATTTGGTGACGCCGATGATGTTATGTGAATCATCACATTTGTTATTTTGTTTGTGATAGGTGGATGGGTTGGGTTCTTTTCCTATGATACGGTTCGGTATGTTGAGAAGAAGAAGCTACCGTTTTCTGGTGCTCCTCAGGACGATAGGAACCTTCCTGATGTGCACTTAGGGCTCTATGATGATGTTCTAGTCTTCGACAATGTTGAGAAGGTACTTATTCCAGAATTCCTGTTTTCTCGTCTCATTCGTAACTAACTTATGATAGTCTCAGTGTTTCAGAGAGGGTATTGTCCCACAGTTCCAGTTATGACTAAGTATTAGTTTCCATTTAGTTAATCACTTCGTGTTGGAGCACCAATTTTTGAAAGCAGAATAAGATAACTAGTTTAATAATTTAGAAAGTTAACTATACTAATAGTCTAATACTAAAGATTATGCATGTAGTTTGTCATTGTTGCATCTTATATTTTGTTCACATCAACAGCAGGCAGAAACTACACCACTCAGTGTTGATGCATTTAAGTAATCTGCATCTTATGAGGCAAAATAACGTTTCCCATAGCTGTATTTGACTTGTGGTATTTATCCCTTGGAGACAATTTGTGGAAAATATGTGTTCATTTCAAACGACATGGCTCTTTTCTTGTTTTATTAGAAAGTATATGTTATCCATTGGGTCAATGTGGACCGGCATGCATCTGTTGAGGAAGCATACCAAGATGGCAGGTCCCGGCTGAACCTTTTGCTATCTAAAGTGCACAATTCCAATGTGTAAGCTACGCTGCCCATATTAATTCTATCCTGCTACTTATTTAGTTTGATACTCATAGATCTATTTGTTTTGGATTTCAGCCCCACACTCTCTCCTGGATTTGTGAAGCTGCACACTCGCCAGTTTGGTGCACCTTTGAACAAGTCAACCATGACAAGTGATGAGTATAAGAATGCTGTTATGCAGGCTAAGGAACATATTATGGCTGGGGATATCTTCCAGATTGTTTTAAGCCAGAGGTTCGAGAGACGAACATATGCCAACCCATTTGAGGTTTATCGAGCCTTGCGAATTGTGAACCCTAGCCCATACATGGCGTATGTACAGGTATACATAGAAGCATGAAGTACGACCTATTTGAACATTGTTATGTGCACCGATTTGCCTTTGAGGTTCTAATCAACACCCTTTGACTGTCTATTTAGGCAAGAGGATGTGTGTTGGTTGCATCTAGTCCTGAAATTCTTACACGAGTCAGTAAGGTATATGAATTTTGGACCTTTTATGGCTATTCATTAGATTTCAAAATTGTCCTCTCGCTAATATGCACATCTTTTAAAATTTTCAGGGGAAAATTATTAATCGACCACTTGCTGGAACAGTTCGAAGGGGCAAAACAGAGAAGGAAGATCAAATGCAAGAGCAACAACTATTAAGTGATGAAAAACAGTGTGCCGAGCACATAATGCTTGTAGACTTAGGAAGGAATGATGTTGGCAAGGTATGTATTTCTTTTGCCTTGTTATTACAAGAAGCCCATAATATCTACTACATTGCATTCTGACATAATGACAATGCTATTTTGTTTTTGTTTCTTTTGAATTATTTTCTGTTGTTAACTCACATTCTGACATAATAGCGATGCCATAAGAATGGCTAGTATGCAATTCTATCCATTCTTTAGAAGTTATGAAAATGAATGTTTACTGCTTTGTTGCTCTTAAATAGTGATTGTATTGGATGCTTTTCTGATGACTATGGCTTAATAGGTCTCCAAACCTGGATCAGTAAAGGTGGAGAAGTTGATGAACATTGAGCGATACTCCCATGTTATGCACATCAGCTCAACGGTTAGGCTGTTCTTATGTTATGTAATAAAGTTCTTATAATATATCAAATTTTATGCTTTGGAAATTTATACATGCTTGATAATTACAAATAATCACCTTCATTGAACTTGATTTAGCATGTTTCGTGTGGCAATAATATTTAATTAGATTAAGGGTTTAGCTCAAATATACAATAAAACATTAATTTATCATGATTCTTGAGTAATACTCTTTATTTGGCATTCAGGAATAGCCTACAATTGGGTTTTAGCTTGAAAATACAAAAAAAAAAAAAAATTGTTATACAACTCACCAAGCTACATGCAATGTTGTTTCTAATTATCTTGTTTGGCTTATTGTATGAGCACCTTCTGATTGTGCACTTTTTTCACCTTTTTGTTTGTCTCCCATCATATTTAACATGCATAAGAGATTTTGGTTATTAGTGTACATGGTGAAAGATAGGCTTTGGAAAATATTGTAATGTAATAAAAAAAAAAAAAAAATGTAACATCTAGTTGAATGCTTGCAGGTCAGTGGACAGTTGGATGATCATCTCCAGAGCTGGGATGCCCTGAGAGCTGCATTGCCTGTTGGAACAGTCAGTGGTGCTCCAAAGGTGAAGTTTCCCTTCCAATATTCTTATTTGTATAATAATTTGCTATACAACTCATATATATTTTTGTGTGACATGTCTGCCAAATTTTCTGCCTCTTGATATATGTTTATACTTAATTCAGACAATGTCGGCTTAACATGTCATCAGCGGTTTTATCATTTTTATTATAATTTGGCATGTGTCTGATCGAGGTTCTTAATCTATCTGCTCTAATTGCAAAGCAGTGACGTTTGGTAGATCTATCTGACTATGTTGCTCGGTTTAGCGGTTGGCATCTTTGTAGCTATTCTAAAACCATCGCAATTCTGCGGCTTCTTTTTTTTAAAAAGTTTATTATCCTCTTTCTAATAATTGTTGTTTAAAGAGTTCATTTCTCTTTCAAATAATTGTTGCTTAAAGAAAATCTATATATGTGACCAGGTAAAAGCCATGGAGTTGATAGATAAGTTGGAAGTTACAAGGCGAGGACCATATAGTGGTGGTCTAGGAGGAATATCGTTTGATGGCGATATGCAAATTGCACTTTCTCTGCGCACCATGGTATTCTCAACAGCGCCAAGCCACAACACGATGTACTCGTACAAAGATGCAGATAGGCGCCGGGAGTGGGTTGCTCATCTCCAGGCTGGTGCAGGCATTGTTGCCGACAGTAGCCCAGATGATGAACAACGTGAATGCGAGAATAAGGCTGCAGCACTAGCTCGGGCCATCGATCTTGCAGAGTCAGCTTTTGTAGACAAAGAATAGTGTGCTATGAGAATTCTTGTTAGTTCTTGTTCATGTTTCTTTACCCACTTTCCGTTAAGAAAGATGTCATTAGTGGGTGGAAAAGAGCAATAAGGCTATGTTCTCTAAGGAATTGAATAAATATGGGAACTGAGGTTATGGCCTTTGAATGTCGTCTGTTCAGTACGAAGCAGATTTCCTCCCTTACCTTAGAAGTATGCAAGTGTCTTGTCAGGTAAGGTAGGCTTAGTAGAGTAGTATAGACTCTTAATATAACTCCTGTGGCCCTCTTTGTTGCATATATTACATAGTTATATGCTAGTGGCATATTCCTCTTCCCACATCTTTAATTTTAAGTTTTACATTCATTGTATTACTAGTATTGTTGCCAGAAACAAGCATGTGCAATTGCAACTCAATGTTGAACAGTATGTTGTAAAAAAAATGTTGAATACTATAACCTGCCAAACGTATTTATTACTAAATGTGTCCAATATATATACAACTTAATGCCTAACATAACTGTCCTTGTATACCCTCGGTGTCCTAGAAAGACTATTTTTTTCTAAACAAAGGTGTGAGCTCTGCTATAGATTAAAGTTAAGAGAGGAGTTTTCATCGACAGAAGCAGGCCTCATGAGGGGAACACCATGACAAAAAGGCGATCAAGGGACTAACATGAGCAGACATCAAGCGGACTTAGAGACGAATTTTGAAGTTTTCTTCAATTCCTTCCATAAATTAAAGAGAGCATCGATGACAGCGGCATTCATTGTTTTTTTAGGAAAGGACTGCTGCAGACAGTATGGCTAACGAAGAGCATCACGGGTCGTTAAAAGCATGAAGGAAAACATTAATAATGTTAGAACTATTATGCAGGAGGCGATCGTGTTCAGAGAGATGAATGAAGATAAACTATGATCGTACTTTTAAGCCGTGATATATATAGTCTAAAAAATGTATGGAACATTAACATATTGTGCATAGTAGCTGTTCTTCACAACTTTCTTGCTCATCCTCCGAGCACAATTTTTGAATTTTCGAATACACTAGTCTTGTACTCTTGCAATGTGTCCCTACAACAGGCTTTAATAAAGAACATAAAAGCAATTGTCAAATTGAACTACAATTCCTCCTTTGCAAAAAAAAAAAGACGAGCTACAATTCCTGTACATCAGCAATTCACAGCGGCCTTCGCATCCTATGTAGCTCTAAAACAGGATGAAAATGGATCAGGCCTTCCATATCAAGAGAATATGTCAGGGCTCAGCACAGTAAACCTTGTGGGAGGTGCGAGACACCTCTGCAGACGTCAAACAAGCTTGCAAGCTGATAGTCTATCACGTCACCTTGGTGATACGTCAGTTGTGCTAAATTGACAGCTGTTCATGTTGGTCTGTGTACTGTATGATTCAGCTGGATTGGCTTTGGTGCTTTGGCTTGAGGACGTGTCTGCTGTCAAACCCCCAAAGCCACCGGTACGCGGCCGGGGTTCTTTCAGCACACCTGGTGCAACTACATTTTGCAGATCAATTTCTGTTTGGTTAGATAGCATATTGACAACCTGCTTCATGGATGGCCTCTGCTGGGACGTGGCTTGTGTGCACAGCAGTGCCACCTTGATGAAACGAAGCATTTCCTCCTCTGAGTAGTTTTCCAGCTCTGGGTCAACAATTTCCAAGAGTCTTCCTTCTTCCCGCAGCTTCCATGTCTGCAGTTTAACCCATGTAATAAGTTCAGTCATTTTTCCGAAGTAGCTATATCTTGAATGTAAACTTGTAAAGTTAGAACACCATCGTCAACATGTACTGTGAGTCTGTCATGGAAAAAGTTGGTACTTATTAGGTGCATGTGTGATTCTACAGTCCATCAAGAGCTGATGTAATCATGGCAAATACTACAAGGCTTGCAGGTCCATACTTAATGGGAAACAAAGAGGGAAAAATGAGTTACCCATTCCACAAGAACATGCATATTAGGCCCCCAAGTCGACTTGCTGCTGCTTTCACCACTTATCACTTCAAGAAGAAGCACCCCAAAACTATATATGTCTGCTTTCTTGGTTAATTGTCCCAACAAAGCATACTCTGGTGCCAAATAACCCCTGCAAAAAAATTATATATTGAGAGTTCAATGCAAGTATGTTATAGCAGACCATGCAAACTACAATTAGTCAATCAGCGCACTGGTAAACTGGCTGCAAAAATAACAAAATCGGTACACTTGGTAAAATCAGAATAGCACAATGAAAAGAAGTGACATGAAAGACACATAACTTCATTGTATAAGCAAGTAAATACAGGAAAATCTTTTCTTTTTGCGAGGAAGATACATAAAAAGATCCAGAGATGCACTAACATTGTTCCTGCAACACGGGTGCTAATGTGAGTGACAGTATCAGGAAAAAGCTTGGCCAATCCAAAATCTCCAATTTTCGGCAGCAGTTTTTTATCAAGTAAAATGTTGCTAGCCTTGATATCACGGTGGACAATGCGTGGTTGTGCTTCCTCATGAAGAAAAGCAAGGCCAGAAGCAGTTCCGATACATATAGCAGCTCTTTTCTGCCAGTCCAATGGGATACATTTATTCTTTGGTCCTGGCCATAATTCACAAAGGTAAACTTCATACATTTGGATTGACCAACTTAGAAAGTACAACTTCAATATTGAACTTACCAAGCAAAGCATTTGCCAAACTATTATTTTCGGCGTACTCATACACCAATAGTCTGTTACTCCCTTCAGCGCAGCAACCAATCAGCTTGACAAGGTTTGGGTGCCTAACGTTTGATATGACATTAATCTCTGTCAAGAATTCGCTAATTCCTTGTTTTGACTCAGCTGCAAGCTTTTTAATTGCAATTTGAGTGCCATCTTTCAGGTTTCCCTAAGTGAGGAACAGCCTTTGTTAGTCATTGACTACAGTATTTGCAAAGTTCCTCGAAACATGCATTTAGAGTAGAAGCAGCAAATAAAGCACGAATGTTAAACAAAAATGCATAAACAAGTCCTGGGCATCACCTTATACACTGCTCCGAAACCCCCGCGGCCAATGCAATTCAACATGTGAAAGTTTCGTGTGGCAGTCTTCATCTCATTTAGGGAGAATACCTGTACATTATTTCCAGCTCTTGATAATACATGACCTGCACTTTTATCAGAGTTGCATCATCAATTGCTGTTAAGCAAAAGAACACAGACAGGAAAGAAATGTCACCACAGAAGTGCACTGAAACAGGATGACAGTCACTTTGGTCAATAATATATAGTTATTATGACTAAAATCTTCGATGATGAATGATCACTTATAGCAAACATCTTTATATGTTAGTTTGACCGACAGAAATAAAAAAAAAAGTTTATCTTTGTGCAAGAGGTGTACAAAAGTCCTATTGCTGTCATCATATTCCTAATGTCTAAGTCATGGTATAGTTCCTGTCAGGACAACAGGATCCCTAATGCAGGAAATGGCTACTAAAAAGGTTTCGCCTCGGTACGAGGATGCTGCTTGCTGCTCCTAGAGTTCTAGTGCTACTGGCTATGAATTACATCTCACTGAAGCCTCGCATGCGCGCAGCAATGCATGGTTTACAAGAAAGAATAGAACACTAGAGGCAGTTTTGCCTTAAGCATGATACCCTGATGAATAACTTTTGGGATCATGGTTATACTCATGAAGCATAGATTGTGCAATATTTGTCCACACTTTTTTAATGTAAAGCGACACAAGTGTTCTTCATTTCGAACTGTTTAGTCCCGACACTATTGAGCCCCGAATCATGTGCTCACGGAACGGATGTACCTGAACGAGGAGACGAACCCGCGACGACCTGACCATTCTGATCTTGCCTCGACTTGGAGCCGCCTCTCAAGCAGCCGACCGAACTCCCCATGTTCCAAATCCCGCTGCCTCCTCCAGAAGTATATGCGCAGCCAGTTCTAGTTCGTGCCCGGAACTGCGCAGAGGGTGCGAAGTTATTAGTAATTACGTAAAACTGTAAAAGCTTGTTTACTCGAACTGTCGATAGACGAACCAGTATTGTATACTTCTGCTCGTTCGCAACTCGCTACAGAAACTGAAAAAGGGAGCGAAATCGAGGACAAAATGAGCAAGATCTTGAGAAACGCATGGAAATAGCCGGATTCGATGCGCCATACTGCTCCCCGAAGCAGGCAAGAATCGGGCAAGAACCTGGCCGACGGAAGACGGGATCGCTCCCGCAAGCCGCAGAAGCAGACAGCCGAAGCTCCGGGCTGTCTCCTTCCTCCACTCCTTCCCCGCGCTGGCGCCCCAGCGCTCCGTCCGCCTCCGCGTTGGCACCGCCGGCGCACCGACGCTGCCTGTCCGAGGACAGGGTGAAGGGGGTAGGAGGCGGCCGATGCCCGGCGGTTTTTTACCCGTTCCGCCGTGCCCCGAACTGTCGCTTTTTTTGCTCGCTTCTGTGGCGACGCGCGCGGTCACAGATCGGCACCCAGCCACCCACCACACCGTGGAAGTCCACGTTTTGTAGCGCCAAACCAAAACCGGCGACCAGCGAACCCAAGTACTTCTCCTCCTACCCAGCCGGGCGGTTCACACCGCTGTGGCCCGGAAATTGAACACCGCCGGGCGGTTTCGTCCGGGCCCCGGCAATAGGCTGGGGTGGTGGGGAGGCCGCCGCTGACCGTGTGAGACGCGGACGGCAGCAAGGCAAGGATGAGCTGCGCTGCTCCCTTGCTCGAGCATGTGTACGGCCCTCGAGTCCAGTGTCCGTCCACGCCCACCGGCCACCGTACAGTCCCAAAAGTTTGGTCAACGAGAAATTCTCGTGACATTTTGTTTTCCTTTCAACCTATGGTCAGAAGATCTTTGTTTCATGCAGTTTAGTCAAAAGATCTGATGAGTAATGCTTGAGAACTACCCGTAACAGTTTTCTGAGACAGATTGAATGTTCCAGAAGCCAGGAGTCAGCTTGCCCACTCCAACTTCATATCACATTGGAATCTAGTGTCAGACTACTGCTACTCCTTTAGGACTTGTTTGGCAAGGCTCCTCCTGAGGGGCTCATCCGGATGAGCCAAAGCTGTTTTGGAGGAGCCATAAATTGTGGCTCCTCCAAAACAGCTCCGACTCCTCTGTTTTTTACTGAAAAACGGCTCCTTCGGAAAAAACGTTTGGCAGGGCTACTCTAGAGAAGCCAGAGTCGGAGCCGGAGAGGAGCCCGGCCAAACAGGCCCTTAGTCGTTTCCAAATGTCATGTGGGGGTAGATTAGGCATAACCAAGCCGCTAATTAACGCAGGTTGACCGTTGACGTTGACGCGCGCCGACATGAGGTGAGCCCGTGAGGGTGAAGTTGCTACTACCCCTAGCTCCGTTCCAGTCCGGTGGCGACGAACGATTGCGCTACTGGTACTGGTAGGTGGTGTTGATCATCGCTCCATGACAGTAAACAGAGTGACATGACTCATGAGCCGTGAGATGGATGCTCTCGCACTCAATCAATTCAAAATGCAGGAATGCTATACGCATGTCGATGTGTCATTGGTCCGCTCGTCACGTCTATCTCTTCCTGTTCACACATGCTCGAGACTTGTATGAGCCGCGTGCAGTTGCGTCGAACATGCATTGCTTACGCGTTTGTTCTGCACAAGGGCTACAAACATTTTTACGCCCACCCTAACTTTCAAAAAGTTGCTACAGTACTTGTCACATCGAATGTTTGCGGCCCGTGCACGAAACATTAAATGTAGACGAAAAGAAAAACTAATTGTACAGTTTGGTGGGAAATTGAGAGACGAACATTTTGAACATAATTAGTCCATTTTTGAACATTATTTGCTAAATAAAAACGAACGTGTTATCAGTAGCTCCAAAATCCAAATTTCAGTGAACTAAACAAGGGCTTAAGGTCTGGGAACTGGGATTTTCTGCCTTGCTTGACTTTTCTCCAGCAGTCGAGCTACTTGGCCGTCGGCATCCCCGCTTCTCTACGATGTTTGCTTCTTAATTATATTGAGAGATAATCGCCCTAAAGACTGCTCTGTTCGTTTGTGTTGTTCGGCCAGCTTTAATTCGTACAAATTAGCCGTAGAACACTATTTTTCTCTTACAACAAATCAGCCGTACAAATCACCGAAGCCGATTTAATACGAGTCGAACAGAGCCGACATTATACAAGAGAAGTCGTAGTCATGTAATTAATTAACAAGTAAAAAATCAAGTTCGAGAAACCATTTTTTAGGCCCGCCGTTGAACGAGCAACCAGAGCTGACTGGCTTACTAGATGGTGACAAAATAGTACTGTAGCAAAAATTGTGGTCTTGGATGCAGTCACGCAGAACAAATGCCACCTGTAAGGTCAGAGTCAAGTTCCACGTAAGTCAACCTCAAATTAGTGCAGGGGATAACGCTGCCTCTGATTAAAAAAAAAACCCTTGATACGCTGCTGCTTGTCACACAGAACATATGATTCTGAAAGGGGTCGAAACTCAAATAAGGTGCTAGGGACACGGTTGGTTGCCAATAACAGGAGAAGCAGGAGCCATGTGAATGTTACAAAAACATCAGTGCTTAATGATAATTAACTCACATGCATATTCGATACTCCTTCGGTTTTTAAATTATAAGATGTTTTTATTTTTTCTAGACTCATGGTTTTATTATGTACCTATACTAGTGTATATTAAAGGCATCCCTAGTAGATCTAGCGAAATCATTAGCTGATGTGGTCTATGAAACAATAGAAAACAGAGCTGGTAACCTTTGTGGGCATACACAGACAAGCCAGGGTGAGCAGAGACATGGAGATTTTTGTGAAGCGTGTGAGACTAGTGACTTCCCCCTCGCCGGCGAGATGCTTTTCAGTAACTTTTCTCCTCCACGTCGAACAAAAGGTGACGTGAGTCAGCAACATCGTCACCCCGTTGGGACGCCCTAAGGGGTTGTTTGGCGTAGCGCCGGCCTAGAGGGCTCCGAGTCTCCGACTCCTTCCATTCAGGTACTATAGCACATTGTTATGCGGTATAGCGTATTGCAGCAGACTCAAATACGACTTCAGCTCTAGAGAGAGAGAGAGAGAGAGAGAGTGGAGGAGCGGGAGGAGTGGATGTATTGGGGTGGCACCCCTATAGAACTACTACAATAACATAGTTGGAACCGCTTAGAGCCCCTCCCAACAAGCCCTAAATGCATAGCAAAAGTTATGTATATAGAAAAATCAAAATATCTTATAGGCTCCGTTCGTTTCGTTGAAAAAACAAGCCAAAGCACTGTTCTGGCTGATTTGTCGTGAGAGAAAAACACTGTTCCGACTGAAAAAACAAGCTGAAAAGTACGGATTATAAGACAAGCAAACGGGCCATAATTTAGAATGATGGAAGTACATCAGTTCAGTAATTTCATTGGTTAGATTTGTTGTGCAGTAGTATAGTTCTTTTACTCCGAAGAAGTTTGACAGGTCGGCACACTTCCCTGATTCCCTCTCTCTTTTTTTTGGGAACAACTTCCCTGATTCCCTCTGGTTAATCTCTACTAACTGAAAGTAATCAAATCCTCATCCCTGGACTCCTCTTCTGAAACTCTGCCTCCAATCATTAGAGCTGATGTCGAGTAGAAAGCTGGGCCCGCCTCCAATCATCGTGGTTCGCGCCTTCGCGAGCACATGAAGTCAATCTCGAGGTTTCACTGCCTATTTTGTTTTACATATTTGCTCAATAAGACGAGTGATATTTTGCATATTTGCAGTCGATTTTGTGTGTGCTAAGCTAAAGAGGGAAGAAAAGTTCAGCTCAAGAAAAAATAGAGAACTGCTCTATTACTCCTCTTTCTTAAAAATAGCACCAATCTCAAATCAGCCCACACAATTAGTTTTTTTTTTCTTAATTATTTTTTCTCTTAGGTCCCTATGGGCCCGGTCCGTCCAACCGAACCCGTGTCCAGCCCTGACCGCGTTGTTGTTGTGTGCCTGCCGAATTGCCGTCATGGCGTCGCCGCAGGTCGCCGGGAGCAAAACGGCTCGGGTGCTCGTGCTCACCAAGTCGGCTTTCCTCTGGGGCTGTCTTTCGGCACGCACTGCTCCGTTTAAGGAGACGTCCTCCTATCCCATTCGTTCGGATTCTGCTCGTTTCTTTTCCTCGCGTGACGTCAAGCAGCAGAACTATCCCGACGATGAAGATGGAGCGGACGAGAGAGGGCACAGCCATGGTGGACTGGTGGTGCCAGCACTGCCCGACTACATGCTCAGGAATCAAACTGCACCCATAGGCAGATGACCAACGACATGCAGGCATGCAACTCCATGGACTTTTTTTTTGTGAATCATAGCTTGATTACTCAAATAGAGTTGTTACAATCAGACTGCAAACATTGCAGCAAGAAGCTAGGGAGAAGAGACCAAACAAAGGATTGTAAACAAAAGAGCGCATGTTGCGCACAGAGGTGCTGCGAAGTTCGCTGATCTTCGGACGTGTATGATCTTGGCTGGGGGTTTAGATGCAAGCATCTCTTCGACATCCCTGAGAATTGCAGTAATCCCCGAACGGTGATTAACCCTGTTCTTCCATAACGACACCAATTCCTGAGAATCGGTTTCCAAAATGATGTGCTCAGTGGTGCCCTCCGGGATCAGGCGCACACCATCCCGTAAGCTTTCAGCTTCAGCTAGGAGTGCAGAACCCACCTAGTCCAAGAACCGAGCCGAAGCTGCCCGGAATGCTCCATTATTGTTGCGCAAAACTGCTCCCGCTGCACCCGTGTGTGAGTTCTGATCAAAAGCCTCGTCCACTCGTCCACGTTTATTTTCAGAACTCCTGACTCCGGTGGCTGCCAAGGTTCAGTTTGTACTGCTGCTTTACTCGGTTTGAAGTTCGCCAAGTGACAGCAAACCTCCAGCCTACCTACACGCAGCTCCATGG